ATGGCAATAATATAATTTTGACTTACCTACAAGAATTTCCAAATTTAAAGTAAAAATTCCCATTATTTGGGAAATAATTATTAATTCAGTTAATATTTCCTTATTTTTAAATACCTGGATATTACCTATCACTCACTTTAGATAAATTGTACGCATACAAATAAATGATAAATAAAATAACATCATGTCATAAATAGTAACAATTTAGAGTGTAATAATAAACAAATAATTACCAAGTATATTATTAATTTGAAAAAATATAAGAAATAAGTAATATAAATTAAATTAAACTATTAGTTTTGACCTTGTTCCATCTTCAGATAATATAAATAAATAATTTAAAAACAAAAATCTAATAAATGTTTGATAATAATTTAATAAATACCCAAAAGTTAGTACTTAATAATTTATGTAAAAATTACTATTTAACTACTAACTATACCGAAGACGGCTGTAACCATGGTTTGATTCTATTCATAATACTTTTTTGGTTTGTGAATTTTGATTAAAAGTTATCAGGCTTACTATACACACCAATAATTACTTTATAGTTTCACAAGTATTAAATGAATATATTTAATAAATTATTTATGAATAATCATAAATATTTAAAGTTGAATCAATAATTATTTGTATAAGTTGGTTTACTTTAATGGATATCGTTTTTTTAATTATTCCTATTATTAGCAAAAAGTGGTTTGGATAATGTTTATTTTACCAGCTAGTATTAAGATTATTTAGTTGCATTTTGATGGCAGAAGTCTGAAATGTGTAATATATTATATATCATTACTATGTCACCAGCTCAAGTATGTTTGGTTCACCAAGCCCAATTTAAACAGTGATTATGTATACCCTTGAGGATGGTCAGAGACTAGAGCACATTTACTCCTATTATCAAATATGCATCATCATTTTATTTCCTTACACAATATCAATTTGCTTATCATAAATTAACTTTGAGTTTAGTCATTTTATGATTAATATTAGACAGTTTTGTAAATCTATAGAGGTTAAAAAATGTAAAGCTCTAAGAACATAAATTTTAAGTTTCTGTATGTAATCCTTTGCTTCTGCCAAAATTAAATTGAGAGCCACTGCCTTGTAATAACACAAATGAAAAACATTTTCTATATCCACATATTTTTCATTTCTTTAGAAATAATTAACAACAATTTTTAAGTTGCTCTTTCAAGAGGGATTACTTTATTTTTTCTTAATTTAAATTACACATTAATATTGTAGAAAGTACAACATAAATATACAAACACATTTTCCAGTAATCAAATTATAATATTAATAAGATACCACGTATGATAAATTTTACTATTAGTTGTAAATAAAATGTTATACGTTATTCACTACTTCTACAACCTACATAGTGTGATTTTTTTGATTTCTAATAAATGTTACTCAATAATAATAAAAATAATAATAACTGTCATGGGAAATACAATTTAAGTGTATTAAACACCAAATATAAAAAAAAAAAAA